AAACGTGATAATTACGATCATTTTAATTCTCAATCTTCACTGAAAAAACTTATATTCAAAACTTTACCTATGGGGAATGTACTTGAGGCATGTCCACACAATCTGTCCACCCAAAGAAAACCCAACAATATAAAACTTCGATCCTAAACCCAAATGATCCGCAAGCTCCTCAATATCAAAAGCAGTGCTATTCACTGTCTGCTTGGGATTAGGATCACTCTCTCCATAACCTGGTCTGTCGAACGAGACAATGTACACTCCCTCATTTTCCACGATATCCTAAAATTAAATACTGAATTTTAAAAAAAGAAGTCGAAAAAAAGAAAAGTCAGCCCACTTGAATGAGTTGGCCTAAACAGGACATTTGAGAAATCATTGTAATTTACCGAAGAGAGTTGTGAAGTTATGGCAGAAAAATCGTGCTTGCAACAATCAAAGCCATGGACAAAGACTATTTTGTGCTTCGCTTTGTCCTTTGGGACTCCGAATTCAGTGTAAGCCAAGAATCTACCATCCTTTAGCTGTAATCTTTGTGCTGTGATTGGAGGCCCGTTTGGAGAGCCGCACGTTTTGGGTTTAGGAGGTATTGTTGACTGATAAAGCCACGCAAGTAATCCCACAAAGGAGACGAATAGAATTTTCTTGAACATACCTGAAATTTTCTCACGAAAAATCGGGGAACCATCGACGAGAGTTGAGTTTAGAGAGGTTATTTTTATTTACATGTGAAGCCCATATAACTATATAAGCTGAATTTCCATTTCTTTGTGCAATAGACATCAAAATGAAATGACAAAGAGTTGCTCCAAAGCACTTTTCTGCATCTAACTTCATTCTCAAGTTGATCAAATCTTATCTGCCCATAGATGATACTGAACTTCACTCATCACCAGTAACTAAATCTGCGATTTTGGTATGGAGCCATCGGATGGCTCGGTTTATAGAGTCATCCATAGTTATCCACAACTGGTGTATTGACACGTGTCCTGCAATAAATACACATTGGACACGTGTCAATACATAAAGCTATGGATGGCTCCATGAGGGAACCATCCGATGGCTCCATAGCATTTCTGACTAAATCTGTACAAATCAATTTTTAACAGTAAACAGAATAAGAAAACACACACACACACACATAAATTGCTTTTTATTCATATCAAAACAATCAACATATCACATAAAAATTTAATCTTTAAGAAGCCCATGAAATTTCTAAACGAAGCTATGCATAAAACACCTCTGGCTGCACTCCATGTTGCCGAAAATCAACTACATAAATAACTGAGCATTCAATAAAAAATAAACAGAGGGATTAAAGAACAAGTGAGTGCCAAAAAACAATTAAAAACCAAACCCTAACCTGAGATTTTCGAAGAAGTCGAGGGTTTCGATTTTCGGGTATGAACCCTAGCCGAGGCTGCCGAAATTCTCCGGCTTGTCCCAGCTGCCATTGTTGTGTTCTCAGAAGCCCAGCCAAGCAGAACACAGTTTAACAACACAAAATTCTTGTTCGATTTTGAAATTTCAAAGGCATCTGGGCATTTGGGGGTAAAAAAAGTGATGTGGCCTGCTAATTTTTTAACCAATAATGTCTGAGCATATGACGATTAAAGAACCACGAGCAACGAACCTAAAGGTGTGTTGATAAATTTGAAGGAGATCAAGAAAATTCAAGGGTAAATGCATATAGTATATGTAATTGAGATTGAAAAGTATTTTGACATTAAAGCTTGATCAAGTTTCAAATATGTCAAGCTGATATGCCTCTGTTCAACTAATACAAGTCTGACTTCATTTTCTGTAATGAATGTAACGGGAAATGCTACAGTCACGTTACGGAACCATTCCACTGAGTTTGTAATCGTTAGATCATCATGTACTGTCGGAAATAGTTGATCTAACAGCAGCAAACTTCGATCGAATAGTTCTGTAACGGAATCGTAGCATCTCCCGAAACTATAAAATAACTGATTATCTGTATGTTTACTAACAGAGTTTGATTTGACACGTAGTTAGTTTGTTTACAAATAATTCTTGTTTGGAATTTTTATTTATCATTCTGTGTATTTTAAATAAGACAATTGAGTTGAACTTGTTTTTTAGGTTTCACCAACAACTTATTTGAAATTTTATGTATATTAAACGAGTCAAACCCAATTGATTCGAGTTTAAACGAGACGAGTTTGACTCAACCTTTAGCCTATTTGGTAGACGAGTATGAGGGTAAACATGAACAACTCAGCTCGAAACTATTCGAGTATGAGTTTGACCAACCTTAGCTTGAAGCTCAATTGAAATAATAAATATAGTCTTGTGGACCTGTGGTAAACATGTGCTACTCAACTCGAAATTATTCAAAGAGAGAACTTGACCAACCTTAGCTCGAAACTAACTTAAAAACAACTCAAAACTCACGAACTCTCAGATAATGTCTTAAATGTGAAACTCCATAACTGCAGCAGCCATCTCTGAGTCTATTCGTGCATGCATATATACAATCTCCTCAACAGTAAAGAGTCCCCCTATTGTCATGCATGTATATTAGTATATATCGACATCCTTTCATTTGGAATTGATTTCCTTTCCAAAGATTTTCTTCAAATCTTGGACACGATCTTCACTATAATGAAAACGAGATCACGATTAGCTTCTACTTTTAGGTGTACCATTCTTCCTACACTAACTAGAACAAATATTATATAAAAAGATTTATCAAACATAAACGATATCTACTAAACTAGTGTGTACCCCGTGCGATGCACGGAGGAGCTCATATTTTAAACATTTTTTTAGACTTTATTTTAAATATAATTGTTTATATTTTTCACATCTCATCTCATTACAGAATTAAAATAAATAAAAACAATGAAAAAATATATATTATTAAACACTTTTTTTATGCAATATATTTTATTTAATGAATACTATTGAACCATTTTATTTTGATTTTTTTAAAATCAATTAACAAATCTATGATTGTTAATGTACATAAAGTAATAGAACGAATCCAAACTTTAAAGTAGAGTATTGTTTTTCTTTAACAAATCAAAACCATCCAATATTTCTTTTAAGCAATTTCATATTGCAATTTCAAAAACTTGCTTTAGGTGGGATGAACGAAAATTTTCAAAATTGAAAACACGTTATTTGGTTTAAATAAAGATTATTCAAATATTTAAAAAGCTTGATAAATATTGTAATTAGCATGCAATAAACACAAAGGTGGAAATAAAAATGATCTCCAAAAATATAACTAATGAGAACCCTAGAAATCCAAATCATGTCCAAAACACATGAAAAAAAACATGATTTCTCCTCATCCAACTTTTGTGCACTAAAACTATATTTATCCACAACCTAATTCAACCCAATCCATTAATAAAAAATTATTTTCTCTCTCTTCTACCTACACAACCCAGCTTTTAACAATCTACATATCTTTATCCTCAACCCAACACAATCAAACCCAACATAAGACTATATTTATCCACAACTCAACTCAACCCAACCCAATAATAAAAAATTATTTCTCTCTTTTCCACCTACACAATCTAACTTTTAATAACCTACATATCTTTATCCTAAACCCAACCTAACTCAACCCAACATAATATTTATTTTATTTTTATTTATTTATTAATTAAATATTATCTACAATAAATTTTTGTTATTGTTTTAGTTGTGATATGATAAAATAAAAGTATGATAAAATTGATAAGTTATGATTAAGAAAAAAGAGTGAAAGAGAGAAATTACAATTATGTTACAAAATATATCAAGAGTGGTCTCTATTTATAGAGAATGAAAAAATAAATTTTTATTTATTTTTTTCATATAAATTAATATCAATATTTTGACTTACAATTATCTTATTACAGAAAAATTTTATAGACCAATAAGAATGGGACACTCGCTCAATTCCACTCACCTCATTTCTCTCTCCCTCCTTGTGGCTAGGTTGCGAGCCAGGGTCACATTTTGATCTAGGTCGCGGATTTTGTTTTTTTTTTTCTTTTATTGTTTTTTAGTTGGTGACCCAATAAAGATAGTATAATATTTATTTTACTTTTATTTATTTATTTAATAAATATTATCTACATTACATTTTTGGTACTGTTTTATCTACATCCTAACCCAACATAATAATTTCAATTGTGTTTCAGAACATATCAAGAGTGGTCTCTATTTACAGAGTATGAAAAATACGAATTTTGATTTTTTTGTTTTATTTTTTAATGTAAAATAATATCAATTATTTGAGTTATATTTATCTTATCTTATAAAATTTATAGTGGATCAATGAAAATGGGACAAGTGTCCCTCCTATTGTACTGAAGTTAGATAATATGAAATCTCCAAAAAATCTTCATGTGATCTTTTTATTTAGAT